GAAGCAGGGAGGGAGGGCATGGTGAGTTCATTCTTTTCACACGCTGTGATCTAACTGATTTATTTTGGTTTGTAACACTGCTTACAAATGCATATTCACTTTCTCCTATGATTTTCCCTGTCAGATTTGCAAATGGAAATTCTGTTGTTGTTCTGTTATCTCATACACTGAGATAGGAGATAGTGTAGGAACTCTAATGAGTTTACAAGCAACTGTTGTGCTTTGCAGTGTAGGCAATGAACTTTAGTACAGTTGAGATATTTTTGCTTCATCAAGCTTTAAAAAAAATAATCTTACGAGTGTTATCTTCCAATAGTTCATAATCCTGGAAGTATCAAAGAGGACTTGCATGGTCATGTTTCTGAAAGATGCCTAAGCAAGGTGTTCTTGGGCAATCCAGCAGTGAAGAGGAAGGAGGGATCTTTGAACTAATAATTTGGTGAATGCCTTGAAGATAATGTTGCCCAGGATCTCAGCCACTGGAGTCTCGTGATCTGCTTTATGAAGGAATGTTCTTTTAGCAGTTAGTTCATATTGCTACTTTTTTTATCAAGATCATAGGGATTTAAGTAAACAGTGCTGTTTCTTACCAAGATGCGTCCTCAGAACCTGTTGTTTTTTCTCTTTTTTACTTCCACGGCTCCAGACACTTGTAGTGCAGGTGTCCAACTCAACAGCTGTACCATCTCCAACACTGCTACTGATTCGCTACTTTTTATTTGATACTCCTCAAAATCATAGTTCTTGCAAATAGAACTCTTGTTCTTTTGCAGTCTATTTTACAGATTTCTTTCCTATTTTTTTCTGTATTTTCTGAGTTTTCTCTGCTAGTCTCTCACCACATTCTTCTTTGTCTGTGTCTATCATTTTCCAGCTGTATTGTGAAAAGAAAGGAAGATTTAAACCTTTATAAACCTCTGTATCATATTCTAAATGTCTAGGCTGAAAATTTATGCTGTAGAACATTGATGCAGGGAAGTCCTTAGAATTTGAACTTATGCATTTTGGATCTTGGCTTTATCACAAAGAAGCTCTGCTCTACTTGTCTGTAGAGTATTTACTGATTACCTAGTGCTGGAGAATAGAGTATGGAAAGAGATGTCTCATTATTTCATAAGGCTCCTTTGAAAATGAAGCACTGTGTAGTGGAATGCTTGTTTTCTCAAACTAGATTCTACCAAATATCTTAGCAGTAAGGAGAGCTTTGCCTTCCAATAATCCCATAAGCAGAATCCTGACTTAATATGGCTTGTTATATAGGCTAAGGGAAAGAGATAAAAGAATAAATTGTTAAGATCAAGAGATCTTGCTTGACTATTTGTAATATCAACACACTTAAGTTTGAAATACAGCTCCCTGGTAGTATTCTAATGTTTTCCACTTTTGTGTAGGATTTCAAAGCTGAATGTTTAGATTAGATCCAAAAACATACAGAGCTGTGCATTAGGTGACTTTTCTGCCAGTAGGGATGATTGGTGAGGATAGCGTAGGCAGATTTGAACTATCTTTGTGAGACTGAAAACAGTAACCAAGCCATTCTATAGGCAACAGTGATGTGGGTTTGTATTGTTTGAAACTATCCTCAGGCTACTCCTTATTGCACCTCCTTAATAGAAAAAGGGAGATTGGGGAATCAGCTCCTCTAAATTGTTTGCCTTTTTATTGTTTCTACCTTTTCCAGATGATCCTCCTGCTGCTGCCTGAAGGTAGGCAGGTTCCTGAGATATGTAGCAACTTTACAGAGGTCAGAAGATTTCAAAACCAAATAATTTTAACAAGAGAGCTAGCTCATAATATGTAATTTGATTTGAACTGAGGTCAACATTCTTGGGTGCAGAATTGACCCTTCCTTTCAGGGTCGGCCAGTATATTTTGAGTTATGTCATCACATCATTAATTCATCTGAAATGCGTTGTGCTTTAGTGAGACAAGTGATTGTAAGAATTCATCTTGTAATAGTGTGCAGTGCATAGAGATTCTCTGATCTTACTTCTTGAATAAGGGCCAAGTATTTGTGTAAGTATTGCTCCTTGAAGTTAAACTGCTGAGAATCTGGATTTTATACTTTTTTTTTTTACCTAAGAGTGATGAACATGGGTTCTATATATGTGCTTGTATGCTTATCAAGGAAGAGTCTGAAAATAACCTTCCTCTTTGCCTGACCTTTTTGTTTTGCCAGTGAAGTGCAAGTTTTTTTTTAATTATAATTTTTTTAATTCCATGGAACATAAAAAATAGTATTTGTGATTCCCAGGTGTAGAAACACCTAATTTGTTAGGTTATTAAATAGGAAGGCTGTATCTTAAGATGTAACTTCTAGTCTGAGCCACCTAGGATGAGATGGAATGCCTTGCCTTATGGCTGTCACTAATATTACTATTTAAAACAAAACCCCAAGACCAAAACAGAACGAAAAAAGAACAGAAGAAGACTTCTGCCTTTTCCTTACTTTTTTCTGTACTCATGCTTGTTTGTAGGCACTGGGAAATATGGATAAACAAGGTGAGACCTGAGTTACAATCTGTCATTGCGGAAGACTTTCTGCAGTTATTCTGGCTGTTGGTTGTTACTTTTTCTTCATCAAGTTCTTTCATTTAAAAGTAGAAAAAGAACAATAAAAAGGAAACCCTTAAAACCTATTAAAATAAATAAAAATCTCTCATAAACCTCCCATTGCAGTAGATGGTGAATGGGAAGAAAAAATTACTGTTGAGCACAAGACAAGTCATGGGAATGGATGAGGTTTTTCTTGGCTTTCATGACAAAAGCTCTAGACCACATTTGTGGACATTATTTTGTTGTTTTTGTTTTGGATGAGGATCCTGAAAGCAGGTACATGGCTTTGTCAAACACTCAGGGTAGAATGAACTCCTTCAAATAAAGGAAGTATGAAGTTTTGGAGGTGGAACACAAGAAATACATAAGGAGGCTGTCTTTCTGGAGTTCTGAGATTAAATGTCAAAATCCACATCATGTGCTTTGGTGAAGGAGCCAGGACATTAAGGGTTTTTTCCTAGCAGGACTTTGACATGCTCATTTTGTTTTTATTCATTTGCTCCTAAATAAACTTAAATCTGCGTGGATGCAAGAAAAAAACAGATCTCTCAGAGGACTCCTTTGCAGACTGAATGCTGAGGCTAGGAAAAGCAAGCACTTGAAGGCGTCCCAGGCATCTCTTTCCAGTTTTCTTCTCCAAATGGCATGGAGCTGTGGAGCTGCCACTTGAACATAATGAATAGGGGTAAATCAAGTAATAGAGCTGTCTGCATCCACAGCCATATGGTTCTTATTCCCACAGGCTTGGCAACATCAATCAAATGTGAGTTAGAGAGACACGTTATACCTCTGTTGCATATCAGATAGATATTCAGGCATTACTAAATGTAAGTTGGTTTTAGAAGCTTGAAATGAGACAAAAGCATGGTAACAATGTAACTAGAAATTATTTGCTGTCCTTGATTAAGTGTATGTAACACAACCTGCCTCAGCTTCTCTCGCAGTACAAGTCAAAGGTTTGATTCTGGGGTGACTGAAAAAAAAAGGTATCAATAGCCAAATTAGCTGGAAAGAGATTCATAGTCTTCTAGCTTATGTTCTCATGCATATCTGGTGGACAAAGCTATCTTAGAAGAAATTTGTCTGACCACTGAATCATTTTCCTTTTGGAAGGTTGTGCAGAGGAAGTATAGGTGTGTAATGCTGCTGCTTCTACCTTACTCAAGAATGGCAGGCAGTCGGTATTTAGGTGACAGTGTGATGCAGCTGCCCTCGTTATACTGAAATACTTGAATCTTGTCTGTTGTTTTTTGTTTTTTTTTTTTTAGGAGATTAAAAACAGGTAGTTCATAATCTGAAAACATATATAGGGATTCTCCTGTATTTAACTATGACTTCCTGATGTAAAACTGTGTCTCTGCTACCAGATTACTGCTGTATTAGATTCAATAAAACCTTTAATGGGAATTCAGTTTACCAGCAGTTGCAAATTGTACTGATATACGTGAAATGTTTTAGTGAAAGGTCACCTGAATTTTGTCTCTGAGCACCACATCTAAATGGATTTTAAACACGATCAGGGGTGGTGACTCAACCACCTCCCTGGGGAGAAGTTTTTCTTGATATCCAACCTAAACTTGAGTCTATGAGCGTTAGAGGCTTGTGCTCCCCCAGTCATTCATTCTGGGAGGCTCCAAACTGGCAAAATAAAAATTTTTGGTGGCCTAGCTAAGATTTGGGTACCAGATTGCCTGTTTTTGTTGTTGCTTAGTCTTTAGTCAGGTATCACACATGCTAGCCTCAAAGCTAGCCCCAAAATTGATATTTTATCATCTGCTACATAGATGTGGAATTACTATACCTATAATGTTGGGGTAGAATTTAGCTCCCAGTCATAGTTTGTCCATAGTTTGTTTGTTTGTCCAGCTTTATAAAAAGGAAGAGTCTCCATTTTGTGTGTTTCAAGTGAATAACTTTTATTTTCTATAATGCGCTCTACTTAATTCTCTACAGTAGTAAGAAGGGTATTGTATGCAGTTTCTATGCAAAAAAGACTTAGTGTCCTCATTTAATATTCCTCCTCTTGCTGTTATTTGTCCTTGCTCTTGGTTTTTGGCTGTTTACAATCTGACATTTTCTTCTGCTCCCAAAATGTAGTCTTAAAATAAACTAGTGATATGCAAAGGTCTCTTGGAGCCAAAAACGTATATACTTTTAGACATGGTAACAGCAGACAAAGTTGCTAAATTTACATCTTTGTTCTCCTGGAATGGTTAAAAAGTAGGGTTGCATTTAGATAATGTATAAAATATTTGCATTTCAATTCCCATGAAAAATGCAAGGGAAGGTTACAGCTAGTAAGAAAATACTGGAATAATATATTAGCACCCAAACTATTCATTTATATGTTAGGTGATTTATTTATTGGTGTGTTCTTTGTTTTATCTGTTTGCTTTACTGTTGATTCGGTTTAGGTCATAACATTATTTCTTGATTTCTTGCAGGCGCAATTCCATTCTCAGTGCCCAGTCCCACAAAGTATCACTTCAGTCAAGGTCTGTGTTATTCAATTTTGTACAAATTACAGTAGATTTCGGGCAAGTAGCCATGAGTTATGATCTGAATTCAGAGTGTTATTACCCGAATACTAATGGAAAATTTCACATGATGTATTCTGTTTTCCCACACAGTAAATGTAAATTTACAAGGTAAATTCATAGTAAAATGAAATCTGAGCCCTAAGGAATATTTACTCTGAATGCAGAATACTTATCTACTAGTTAGTTCAGATAAATGTTACTTCTATACTGATATATGTGATATATACATCTAGCTCTGTCAGTGAATATGTGACTTTATGTACTTATGATTACAGATGTATGTGTACGTATGTATGTTCACACCACTGCATCTCCATTTGGGTTTCAGATTAGGTTATGGGCAGTAATTCAAAACTGCAGTGGTTGAACTTTGTTCTCTAAACAAACAAAAGACTCCTGAACCCAGGAAAGCATGGAGATAGGATATTACAAGCATTCATAAATAAAATGGCTTGTTCCTGTTTTTTTTTTTTTTAACCTATTTTACCTTTTATAAAGTATATTTGCATTTTATTTATGAAGAAGTAAATGCTTTCTCTGAGGTGATTATTGAGACAGCTGGTATTGCTCCCAGTGCCAAATCCAGAGCTTGCTTTTCAGACTGGAATGCTGATAATTGCATGCGAGGAAACCCCAATCCTCTTTTTTAAATTGTTGACTGTGGAGCTTAACAGGATGCATTTATGAAGATTTCTCTTTAAAAATGAGAATTCATTCTTTCTTTTCCGTATCAGGAAGAGATTTGTATGTCATTTTGAGTTGAAGGTTAGGCTTTTTTTTACCCCAGAACTAATTGTTACATTACTTCCTCTTTGCTTCCTCTTTGTCAATTATTTAATGTCTTCTTTTTTTCTGTAGGCTTCTTAAATCTTCTGATTAAACTAGGAAATGATTCTTTTTATATACTGAAGTCAATCAAGGAACAATTTGTCATGAGAAAATGAAAAAGCTGGAATCATGTTGTTAGGACTTCATTGAGTTTATATAAAAAAACTCTTGCTAACTCCATTTTAAACTACCTCAGTAGTTAAATAATTCCAGAAACTTGATCAAGAAAATTATTTTGTAAAAATAATCTCAGTGCTTACAATGTTAAGACCCTTAAAATCTGAGAATTCAATGTAAAGATGAAGGGCTTCGATATATTTTTACTTGCTGTAATATAAATGAGGAAAAAATTAGGAACAAAATCAAGTTTTATGCTGCCATTCTTATTAGCTCATAAAAGATCTGTGACATCTCAGACTTGAAAATATGAAGAGTTTCATTTTTTTTTTTGTCTAGACCTGGGTGAACTAGTCTAGAAATAATAAAATAAAACAACAAAGAAATTGCACACAAAAAAGAAATACCCGAGTTGTTTTGCAAAGAAAAGAGCAGAGTAGAAAATTAAATACTTCAGCCATAGGTTTTTTGCCTTGCAGTGGTCACTGAGTTCTTTTTCATGGTTCTGAGTGTTCTGTTTCCTCTAACCAGAGCAACATCTAGTGGCTGGAAGATACCCAGCTCTGAAAATAGAGCAGAGTCCTGGTGTTTGGAGGGCAGGAGGCAGAGAGAGAGGCTTTCTGATCAAGCATGGAGTAATTCCATAATGATGGCTGTAGGACTGCTATAATTCAGTTAAATGCTACAGTACATAATATTTTCTGCTGAATGATCTTATGTGTATTTGATTGCAAACTCCAGAGGAAGTCTTAAGCTCAATATCTCAGCATCTGAAGAAACACAATATGCAGCTTGATATGAGTAATATTAGAAATCAAGATATAAAGTTGCATGTGATATGATACTGTGGATTTTTGTAGGGCAGATTTTGGCCCATGGAGGTACGGTTGACAGTTCCTTGAGAGGCAGTTCTAAGGGGCAGAGGGTCCAGAAAGGTTGAGCACTATTACAGAATCATAGAAACACCAAGGTTGGAAAAGACCTAAAAGATCATCCAGTCCAACTGTTCACCTATTCCCAATAGCTCCCACTAAACCATGTCCCTCAACACAACATAAGATTGTATGAATAAGATGTAGGCACAGAAACACACTGTCCCTGTGTGCTGAGAGATGAGCCAGTGCAGAGAGCCCATCCTGGCTGAACAGAGTTTTTTCTGCAACTCTGGAAGAAAAAGAGTTTATGACCTTTCGAAGAAGGACAAAGATGTCCTGTGGCTAAGCAGGGAGGCAGGAAGCAGAATGAGGCCAGGAAAAGTGGTTAGCAACCTACCAATTATTCATCTGTATACCCACAGATCTGTTGGACTAGGTGGGTTCTATCCAGGAGTTGTGGCAATGCTTGCCAAGCTGCTCAGAGTAATTTTTCAGCAGTCCTGGCTATCTGGGAGGTCCCATTTGACTGGAGGCTGGCAAATGTGATAATGTTCATACAGGAAGGGTGGGAAGGAGGAGCACTGGAGTTACAGACCTGTCAGTCTGGCCTTAGGGCCAGGGAAGGTCTAGCAGCGGATCAGGTTAAGCCATCACATGGCATGCATGGCAGAAGTGGGTGCTCAGACCCAGTCAGCATGGAAATAAGAAAGGCAGGTCCTGCCTGACAAACCTGATCTTCTTCTCTGGTGAGATGACCAGGTTCATGGACTGGGTCTGAAGTTTTACATAAATTTTATGCATTACTTCACATCTGTGTGCTGCTTTTGGCCTTGATGGAATATATGAGAGCTGTTTATAATTCAGAATGGTTATCTCCTTTGTCCTTGGAATGCATTTCTTTTCTCAGTTAAGACTGTTGCAATTCAGTTGCTTACCTGTTTATCTAGACTGCCTATTTGTTTACATTAAAGAGAACCATCTTGCAAGTTCTTATGCTTCAGTTCTGTGCTGGTGTGCAGTCACTATACATCTCCCACCAGCTCACAAAGATGTAGGCAGTTCCACTGGGGGAAGAGCTAGAAAATGACACTTGTACCCTGTTCTTGTTTGTTTTTTTTTTTATCTGGTATGACGTAGCCTTATCTGCTTGAGGTTGTAGATAGTCCTGTAGATTTTTGTGAAACAATTCACAAGAGTAAAATGCCTGCAAGACCGTTTCAGTCTGTTTTTATCTTGGAACTTCTAGCATTTTTGCAGGATAAATGGCTAAGAATAGATTTTTAATATAACTTTTCTGAGTTCTTTTGAAAAAACCTTCCCAATGTCATGGTGGGAACTGCTGAGTTGAGAAAGTTTAACCTCATTTCAGTACTGAAACTGGAAATGAGTTCTGTCCTCTTTGAATTGATTCCCGTTGTGTATATACAGATACAGGTGTTGGCGATTCTGAAAATCTAGCCACACACAAAATATATCAAATCAAGACTTTTGAAGCTGTGTTTGATTCCCTTTTTAAAATAAGTTTGCTAATGAGGTGTAGTGTACCATGCTGACTACTGATAAGCAAGAAGCAGATGTATATTTTTCTTCTTTAGTCCAACTGTGACTTGTCAAGGGCTCTGTGAAATTAGCTCTTTGATTCTGAAAGTTTGCCCAATTACAGTTATGTGTAGCATAAAGCAGGAACCTCTTATTTAGAATTCTTTTGAGGAAATTTACATTTGGAGTAGTGGAACTATGGCTCTTGATCTACACTTAATTAATGCTGACAATGTTACATTCATTCAGCCAGATCTAAGCACAGAAATATGTAATTTTTATGCCAATTAGTCCAGTCAAGTGAGGTTAGCTAATGAAAGAGTATATTTAACTCAGGAAGAAATTGACTATTTGTTTTAAATAATTTTTTTAAATTCCAGCCCGTCTCATCATTGTTGAACATACCATACTGATCTACACCTGGGAAGGTGCTACATGGTGGTGTGAAGATTTACATGTTTGAAATCTTGGGGCAAACAGAAATAAGATAACAATCTGTGTTGTAAATTGATGGGAGCAAGTGATTTTAGTGGCTGGTGGCTGGGCAGCTTTGTTTTACTGTTGGTGCTAGCAGAGGAGAGGTCTGGTGAGCTCTGTGAAAAGTAAGAATGTGGAGTAGGTGTAGCTGCCAAATTTGATTGTGAGCAGAGGGAAGCAGCATTACAAGACTGATTGGAAGAGGCTGGGAAGTTTTTTTTGGCTGTGTTAGTGTTTTGTCATGAGCAATTGTCTCATTTACCTTCTGAGAATCTCTACGTTCAGGATTGAAGTGGGAAGATGAAAGGGTGGAGAATGATAATCTGTGGGAAAGCTGAAGGTTCTATATGCTGGGTATTTGGGTTTGGGGTTAAGTAAATCTAGCCTGTGATAGACAAAAACTAAAGTGGAGAATCAGTCTGATCATTTTTACATAAATTAGTAGAGAAATCTATCTGTCATTTAAGTGGGGCTTGAATCTAGAAATGGCAGATGCTGTAGTATTATTTTCATGTGGTGTGTATGTGCTCTGGTCACACAGGTTGGTGTGCGTGCAACAGACCACTAGCGTTTATGTTTACCTTTAGCAGGTAGTGATTTGTAATGGAGGAGTATTCTATTTCTTGAGTTTGTATTTTATCATTCAATTTGTAGCTATGATAGAAAACTACTGTGTAAGTTGTACGTAGCACATCTTTCAGATGGTTGGTAGGAGAAGAAAACCAGAAATAAAGCTACACTTTAAAACTGTAGTGAATTAAAACAATAGTGCTGGCTTCTGAGAGCAAATACTTGTGTAAAAAGATTGCCTCTGTTCCCTTACCACAGCCTAGAGACAAAATTAGAAAAAGATACAGCTTAATTAAGGAAATAAAATGAAACCTAGCTGCTCCATGCATGCTATTTCCTGTTTGGTATCAAGCAACAGAAATTCACTTTAATAGTATCTATGTTAAACTATAGGCAATGCCAACTTAATGAATATGAGTTGTTTTCTGGAGATGGATATATATAGTATTTTCTTCCCCCTAATGAAAAGCCGTGCTCTGTTTTGTCCTGCAGTACTAAATGTTAGATGATTTGGAGTTTTCAGCAGAGGGATCTCCATGATCTGAAGCAGGCTGTTCCACCTATATCTGCCGAGCCTCAGAACTTGAAAAGGGCCTGAAGAGCCCTGAGGAAAGATGAGCAAAAGTCAGGAGAACTGTAATCATGGTTCTGTTTATATGAAATTTATAGAGTGTACAGCTGCTTGAAGGAAATACAGTTGGAGGCTTTGCTGATCTCTGTGTCAGTTAGGTTGGATAAAAATTCTGTAAATAGAACAGAAACCTCAGGAAGGTTTTGCTAAACATTGTCTTGTTGTGTGCTCTTGTGCTAGCTGCTCAGATTGTGATTGATGCTGAGCAGCTATTGGGGCTGTCTGGCACTTCTTGTATCCCTAGCGTAAAAGAAGCAGGACAGATATTGGCACTTGAAGTGTTAAGTGATTTGGAACAATTAGCAGTGAATTTCAGTTTGATTAAACAATTTCTGCATTTAGGTAGCTTGTGTAGTATGATTTTGATCACAGGGAAGTTTAAGAACGGTGTTACATGAGTTATGACATGTATTGCAACACTACAGTAACACCTTTCAGTCTGATTACAGTGTGGGATTGTAAGCAATGTTCATTTAGAATTTGATTTGAAGCAATGTCTTCCCAAACTCAGCTACCAGCAAGTTAGAAGAAAGTGGTTTCATTATAAACAGGCCTGTTACTCCATTCATCTCCTTATAAAGCTAATTTGGATAAGAATAGAGGCCATGAAGTAGAGCATTTCAATTCAATTTAGTACTTCTTATCAGAAAATAAGCTGACTTGAAAACCCAAAAATAAAAACAAAGAATTCAGAAAACATTCTTTCAAGTACTTGCCAGATCTGATCAGCTATACAGTTACCTAAAGGAACTACATTGTATCTGAAGGATGAAGAATTAGACTTCAGAGAGGTGAAAATGCAAGATAGTAGGGCCAAAGTACTAAGTTATCTTTAACTATTTGTTGGAGTGATCAAATCTTTGCTATGCATTTTAGTACAGTATTTTCATTCTATTTCAAATTTTTCTGTGCTCAAATACTTATGGAATTTTAATAGGAAAAATAACCTGGTTTCCCAATGACTAGCTATTAACACTTAAGGAATCATTACTATTCTCAAGAAATAGCTGTCTTTTTCTCAAGTGTTAGCTTCCTGCAAGCAATCTCAGCTAATTAATCCTTGCTGCACTTCCGAGAATGGCTGCATTTACCCGTCTGATTAATGTTTCTGCAAGGATAGTATATTATGAAGGTAGGTTTATAAAGGTCATAATACGGGCAACAGTAACTTTGACAACAAAGTGAGCAAGGTATTCCAAGCATGCATAACAATATGAGAGATGACACTGATAGTCTTGTGAAAATGAAGTGGGTACTAGCAGTTACTAGGTAAGACTTCAAAAGGGGGGGAGGAGAGGGGAGAGGCGAGAACCTGGCATTCATTAATTTCTTCTGTGTTTAGATGCCATTACTCTCAGTTCCGAATGTAGGTGCATGTACACACCTTGAAACTATTGAAATGGAAGGCCAGAGGTTGTGTAAGTTTACCCTTTCAGTAAGTCTAGCATGGAAGAAGAGTGATTATCAGTTACAATGTGGAGAAAAAGCATGTTGGAGAATGCTTAGCATAAAATAACAGCTCAGTAACCCAGTGTGTTGTGGTACATGGTGACATAATTCTTAAAGCAGGGAGATTTCTTGAAACTGGCCCACCCATCCATAGTGAAATAATATTAATATTTCTACTATTAAAAAAAATTGATATTTCATATATTTTGAAATAGCTTTTGTAGTAGTTCTCAAAATCTTGTTCATTGTGGATGCCAAGGCAAATGCTAATGAGGTTTGCATTTAGTTTCCAGCTTTGCTTCAGATTGTATAAACTTGAGGTATACTCCTGACAAAGTCACTTGGAAAGCAGAAACAGACCAACTGTTATGAGTGCTAGTACTTTTTCCCAGCCTTGGTTTTGCTTCGGTTGTTTATAGCTTGCAGTCTTCACCTTAAAGCCATATAATGAAGTTTGGATCTCAGCTGAAGTAGCATTGGAAAAAACTGAGCTTAGATAATGGGAATTAGAGCTTCTATAACAGTACTGCAAATTAAAGTGTACACAAACACTTGTTTTTATTAATCCTTTGGGAAAAACGTGAATTGGTGATCATAAAAACTGTCATTATTGGACTGGATACATTCTTGAGGAATAAGAGTTTGCAACAAGAAAGCAAGAACATTAAGAACAGTGTAAGAAACTGTACAGATTTCCGAGGTGCCCACCAGGATTGTACCAGAAGTTGCTTCTGCTAGTCAAAACTGTGCTAACTCCATTTCTAATGGAGACTTGTCTGCAGAAAATGTAACATGGAATGATGTTTTAAGTAGTTATTCATAGTAGACACTGTGCACAGGAGCAGGGTCTGTGCTGGCAGTCCTGTGACTGAATATCTATACTTTTATTTTTCTTACAGATAAAATGTAACTGGCCTGAGCACAAGGTCGTGTCATCATGCCACATCTGTCATTTGGAGTGTGAGAGGAATGTACCATATTATGGTATGTGAAATTTGCTTGTTCTGCTTGCTTTCTGCAAGTTGTACATTGAAGATGTTAATAAGTGCTCCTTAAAATTAAAATGGGATTATAATAAAGGTGGTATTTGAAATTCTGCTGAAAGCTGCTCAGGTTTGTGATCTTTAGGTAAGTAGTTTTAATACAAAAGTGGAACTGAGGCAGTTATTTCCCCTCTTGTAGGATGATGTACAAAATAAAATTAATATACAGCAAACTGTCAATAGCTTATAGGCTGTTTCAGAACTGACAGTTTAGAAATGTCCATGACACTTCACAATGTTTTTTTAATCGATTAAAGATTCTGAAATCTGATTTAACCTGCGATGTTTGTTCAACTGCAAATGGACAAACGGATATCAACGTGCTAGGATAACATTTTCATTATTTGCTGAGTAGGCAACATTATTTTCAGTTTGTGGAAAATTAAAGATGACACTTCTAAATCTCCTATCCTATAGATTGTTTACATGGCATAATGAAATGTTGCATTGTGATACCAGATCTGATTATGTGCACTGACATCCTATGCTAATGCTGCCATATTTACGTACTGTTTAACATACATTAGTAATCTGTTTCCTGGTATCATTCATTAACATATATGGGCTGCCCTAGATGCAGTGCTGTGTTTTTTCCTTAAGGTAACATTTTTACAGTTGTTGTATGCCATTTTAGTGCATTATGTACTGTGGTTCTTGACAGAATAAAATCATAGTTTCCAGATAATGTTCTGCAGTTCTAGACACAGTTGAGAAATAATTGTATTATGTGGAACAAGAAAACAAAGAAATGCGGACTTGTTTGTTGGATCTTATCAGAACGTGCCTTTCTGAAGCTGATGGTTTCTTAAGCACCATGTTTGATATTTAAGCTTGTGAGAACCTATGGGCTGGCTTTCTTTGTTTTGAAAACCTTTAAATATGATTTCTCTCAATATTTTGGAACATCAGGAATATTTATCAGAAGTGGGGAAAAGTGTATTATTTAATGCATGCACTGTATCTTTAACACTCTTATATTTTAGCAGAATTTAATGTATTTGTATAAGCTGGCTGTCACATCTACAGGTATCTCTTATCAGGGCATATTCCATTGTTCAACTGAAGTAAAAAATTGCATGATTCAGTTCCTATTCTTACACACACCTGATGAGGTCTGCTCAGCTACAATTTAACCAGGAAAAACATCAGGTGTAATTATTGAAAGATCACTTTTGTTCATTTTTATCTATAATAGCTCTGTTGGGGTAAGAAAAGTGACTAATCAAAGTAAAAGGCTGCTTAAGAATGAAGCAATATAAAGCTCATCAACAACCGAATTCAGTGATAGACCCCGAGGCAATTTCTAAGCTATTATAACTGCCTGTGGTGACTGCCAAGCTGCAGTAGCTAGAAAAATAACTTTCACAGTTTGATGTGAAGTCCTTTGTTTTTCTGGCATCTCTTCTCACTAAAAAGGAGATATTGTGTAGCTAATGAAGTGCAGTAAGTAGTATAGTTACTGTGAAATTTTAACTAAATATATATATTCTAACAATCCTGTAATAATGTTACTGTTGTGTTTATTCCTTTATGCTGGTTTGTGATATGCTTGAATTTTAAGAAGTGATAGGCTAAGGTGAAGAAAGCTAGTCTGAGAAAAGCATTTATTGCATATCAGCATTTTATTATGATTAGAAATACTTGCAAATATAAAAAAAAAAAATAAAAAGGTAACTGATGTGATACCCTGAGACTGTAAAAAGGTGATGTTTAAGACAAATAACACTTCCATTTCTTATGAAGTAAGCACTTCCGTTTTCTTTTATGCTATGAAGCAAACCCATTTTTTCTTAAAAAAAAAAAAGAAAACAACCCTTTTCTTAACAAAACTAAGTGTTATTTAGGATATATAAACTCTAAGTTTAGAATAATTAGTTTTTCAAAAATTCAATAGTACCTAAAGATGGTAATGATGAAAATTGGAGTGTATTGTACAAAATATGATGCACTTACAAAATGAAATAAAATCTTAGTTTTGCCATTTAATAAATGAAAGGCTTTTAATCTAATTTTGAAAAGATATTACAAGTGAGTTCATACAACATTTTGTTGTACAAGAGCTCTTTCCAAAGTTTGGCCTTTTACCTCATTCCTCCATTGATACGGTGGCAGGATGCTGTCCGATAAAAAGCACAGTAGTAGGTGGCCCAGATGATTTTGTCTTGAACTGTGTGGTATAAGCAGTGGCTAAAATGAGAGAACTACATTGAATAGTATAATTTGGTGACATCAACCTGTGAATATCTTACCTGGTAGGATAACATCAAGCCTTTCCGTACAGTGCTTATAGGTAAAGGGCTGTAAACAAACTAATAATGCCTGTCAAGGTCGCAAAGCTAATGAGGATATCAGTTCAAAATACAAACCAATGTGATGTACAGCTGAGTAACAGAAACATGTTTGGCGTTTACTTTAACTTTTTGTACCTGAAATGGATGCAGTTTTTTCTAAAGTAGGTTCAATATAATTGAAGTTTCACATCAGTTGAAGTGCTGGTTTTAACATAAGATTCATGAATGTTTTTATTCAAAATACTGTGCAAATTGACTGAAGCAAGTATGTTCATAGAATCATAGAGTCCTTAGAGTTGGGATGTCTAGTCCAACTCCCCTGCAGTGAACAGGGACACCACAGGTAGATCAGGTTGCCCAGGGCCTTATCCAGCCTCACCTTGAAAGTCTCCACAGACAGGGCATCAAGCACAACACCAGGCAACTTGTTCCAGTGCTTCACCACCCTCACTGTAAAGGATTTTTTCCTTATATCTAACCTAAATCTACCTCTTTGTGCTCGAAGCTATTTCTCTTTTTTCTATCACCACAAACCCTGCTGAAGAGTCTGTACCCTTCTGTCCTATGGCTCTCCTTTAGATACTGAAAGACTACTATCAGGTCACCTCACAGCCTTCTCTTCTCCAGGCCGAACAGCCACAGCTCTCTCAGCCTGTCCTCATTCCATTCCATGGATCGTTTTTGTGGTCTCCTCTGGACACACTCCAGCAGCTCTGTGTATTCTGTACTAAAAATTCCACATCTGGATGCAAATTATAAAGAACCAGTTCAGAGTGCTACATTTTTGAAGTGAAATACTAAGTTCCAAAGCAAATCTGGTAGGTCAGGTGTTCTTATTACTTTGTTTTCATGTGATCAGGGGACTTGGACCTCTGCTTGCTGCTTGGTGAACATGTTTCCTAAAAGATTCTCTATATTTTCAGCTATTAGTTTGAGAAGCAATTTTCTTGAACATACTTAATATTTTCTCTTTACTAAATACAAGAGTCTGTACGAGAGGACTAGTATTTGGTATAGTAATAAAATGTCTTGTTTACCAGCTCAGACTGGTGGATAAACCTTCCTTTCAGTACACACACTGAAAGCTAAATTCTGTGAGAGTATGGATACTGAAGATTGCACAGAGTGATTGCCTCTGGACTTCACAATGCTTGATTGTAAGCATTCAAAAGCACATTGATTGTATGTTCCTTTTAGATTAGAATGGTATCAGTTAATGGATCATTAAATTACTAGCTTAAACAAATCCCATCTAATGCATTCTGTTCCTTCATGTACTCGTACCTTCAAACTCTTTGGGATGGGTAGCTTCCTCAGTGATAAATACAGCAGTACAGGTTGTGTTAGGACCCTGCTGATGAGTCACTGAACTCTTTCTCTTTTAAAGTTCTAGAAATTGCTTAAAACACAAAGGTAAAAGTTTAAAAGCTGTGTTTAAAATTTGGCACAGTGAGAGGGAATTTAATGGTATTTGAGAAATTCTTCTGATCTGTAGTAGAAACCAGCAGCTTTCTTGCGGGCTTCTCATTTTCTAAATATAAAAACCTACAGGATTGTTTCTGCTTGTACAGCATGATAACTTTGTTGAAGACATTCTTTTATCACCCTGTCAAGGTTTCATCTAAGTCACTTGGGTTACCAGCCTGTAGTATCTAAAATCAGCTCCATCTGAAGGCAGTGTTACCTATCTAAATTGGAGAAAAAATGAAACAAAGAATTTGTGATTGTTTGATATAGTCATCTTTTCTGTAATAAACACAAATTACTTTGCACAGAAGAATATATGAGGCTAAGCGGTGATCTGCTGTTTTCCATTATTTTCAGTTTCTTGATTAGCTCTCAGAAAAACTCTGCAACACAAAGGAAATACAGTACACCAATCTTATGTGCCAGTAAAAGCAGTGGTTGCAAATCACAGCCAATAATTTTGTAACAGTATTGACTCATGTCAAGCAATTTGATCTGAAGCTTTTCAATATGTGAGCCAACAGCTCTCACATTTATGCAGTATAATTTGGCTTGAATGTCCATGAATGCAGAACTCTATATATTCTTTCAGTATCTGCTTTTCGTATCAGCTGAGTTCTGCTTTCAATTTAGAGAAAATTCAGACTGTGGCTTTTTCTTCATTTTTTTTTTACAGTAAATATCATGCATCTTAAGAAGCCTACATGAAGGTAGTCCCTGTATTTCCTGGGCACAGTGACAGCAGTTTTATCTGGATTTGGTAGAGCAGTAGGAATTTAGAACAGTGTTCTTGCATGCGGTTTCCAGAAATACTAATTTTAGCAGTCTATCTTAAAATGACATCTCTTCTTTAGAGGAGTAGCTACCACTTTTGAGTTCCCTTCCATTTCTCTCAGGTCACTTGACAGTTTTACTGTGGCAACTTCTGTACCTAATTCTGTAACCTGTCCCTTTTATACCTACTTTTTAGACTCCACCCTGAAGATTTTAGCATAAAGAAATAGTAATAAAGTACTCAGAATCTCCTGTTGTGTTTCAGTATGCATAATGCATTACTAATGAGATTATGCAAGATTCTCACCCTGTGAAATCTCAGTATTACTAACAGAAGAGCACAAAATAATGTGATGGAATATGAACATTAAAGTATGGCAATACATACCAGAAAAATAATTATAATGCTAAAATTATTATTGTCAGAAGGGGAGAGTAGGCTGAGGAATAGCAATATACCTAATCAAGCATCTGCCTTTCACGGGGAAAAAAAACCAGAAGACCTGAATTCTTCCTAAACCTCTTTGAAATTGTGGCTGAATGTAAGGTGGTATCTTTGAATTTGCTGTATTTT